CCTGTCCCAGAAGCTTGATCAGGATCAGAAACCTCTGACTTCGAGTATCATCACTTTATGGAAACCCTTGCCGTCCCTTCCACAACTTTGGACACCATTCAGACACCAGCGCTGACCTGGATCAAATCTGAATATACTAACTTCCTGGGGGTAAACATTACACATTAGACTGTTTCTTATGGAACTCAGCTCTCTGGATAATTTGTTTAGCTGTTTTCCTTACTATCAGAGCCCTTCCTGGGTACAGCAACGGAACTGAGCCCATCTGAGGAGCAACAACAAACATGTGGCTTTTCTCCTGGAGCCCCTCTGCTGTATTCATGAGATCCCCTGTGGTAGTAGGGAGTGATGGCTCACTCCTTGTGAGAGGCCCTTTACCTGCCCTCTAGTCTCTTTGAGGTTCTTGGGACCCTCCAATAGATCTGACTTCTTCAAGGTTTTTTTTTCTTTTTTTTTTTTTTAATGAAAAAATATCTTGCATGACGGGAGACAGAGATTCAAAACCCCTTAGGCATTTAGAGCACCCTTGCTTTGGCTGGACACAGCCTCCTGACACAGGCGGATTCTGGGTCTCGTCTCTCCCCTTTCACTGGCAGCATTTCTCTAACCCACAGTCAACTGGAAGTTTTCCTCCTGCAGTTTCTCCCACAAATGTCCTTGTGGCTACCAGCTTCTTCTCAGGCTTCCCTTAGGGAACTGTGGAATAGTGCTGTCACATGACAGACCACCCCTCCCCCCAATAAATTGGAATTAAACAATGGATTTTTTTTAAGGTTTATTTATTTATGCATACAAGAATTGGAGAATGGGCCAGAGGTGTGGGGGGTGAGAAGATTCACCAGAGACAGAGGGGGGAGCAGAACAGGCAGATTTATTGAAATACACTGCTGAGGGGAGCAGAGGGTGAGACAGGAGAGGTCTGCTGTGCTCTGTGGGTAGTTCCTTGGCTGGCAGGGGACTGAGTTTTTGCTGCAGTGGCTGACTATAGCTTGGTAGTGCTGTTTTTAACTCCTGCATCAACAGGGAGGCCCAATTATGGATTTTTTAAAATGTATGTCTCAAATGTAGCATGGGACAGACTTACACTAAAAAATTGTTCAGTAGATCTGCCTTTTCTACTCCCCACTCTGTCTCTGGTCAATCCTCTCACCACCCCCCACCCCCACGCCATACCTCTGGCCTGTACTTCAGTTCTTGCATGCATGAATAAACAAAATCTTTTAAAAAATTGTTCATTTGAAATTCAAACGCACCTGTTAGTCCTGTATGTTTATTTGCTACATCTGGTAGCCCTACTGTGCATACTACTCAGAATTCCAAAGTTGGGTCTGGTTCATAGGCTGCCACCTTCTCCTCAGAGTCTGGAAGGGAGGAGTATGGACCAGGTTCTTTCTTTCCCTTTTCCTCTGGGCTCTGCTGATAAACACCAGGCTGGGTTGTCTTGTTCATTTACTTACCATTGGCAAGGTCACTCAAAAAGGAATTACGAGGGAGGCGATGTAACTGTGACCTAGGCAGACCTCAGCACTTGCACGCTGACTGAACTCCCTGCAGTTGGAGAGGTTCAGTGGGCTGGGGTTGGCGCATGTCAGAGATTTCTACAAGGTGAGTATGAGTTCTAGCTTGTCAAAGCCTTGGGGTTGGCCTAGTTTGCCGGGACAAAGCATGTGCAGGTGTTTGTGAGACACATGCACACATGAGGCCTGCATGGACCTGTTTTCAACCATTCCCAAGAAGATAAGCCTTGGTGGAGTGACTACTAGTGCTGGAGACCCCTAAAGCATAAAGTGCTGAGACAAGGAAAACATCAGGGTCATGGCTGGAAGACTGGGCATGGCTGGAAGACTGGTCAGCACAGGTCAGAAGACTAGAGCATGGACTGATCAGGATCTTCTTTCTTGTGTCAGCAAAACTATGACTGGGGGACAAACTAGATTAGAAAAGAGACAGAATAACCTGATAATGCAGAACCTTGGAGGTGAATGTGTACCCGGACAAGGCTAAATGCTAAGAGAATGATTCATTGTCTACTAAATAGGAGGGGATGGGGGCTGTTGGTATCAATAAAAATGAGTTGCTTGAACATGGAATGAGAGGCCTTGTGTCCCCTGGGTCCCGCTTCTCTTAAACTCTACTTTGTGCCTGTCATTTCTTTATTCCTCGCTTCATTCAGATTCCTCTCTCAACCCTGTTCACTGGAGCTGGACTCCTGTAAGGAGCACCCAAACAGGGACCTGAGGTAGGATAAGATCTGCCCACCTGAGTGGGGGAAACATGTGGGGAAAAGAAAAAAGAAATGCAGCCAATTGAACAGCCAAAGGGGAGCCTTCCCTGGAGTAAGGGAAGTCTTCAGAACTGTCAGGGTAACAATGGGACAAAATGAGAATGTCTAACAGCCTGGTAAAAGGCCTGCAGACCTGGTCTGTAATGTTTTCACTTCAGTCTTTCCTGTCTTTTTTCCTTCTTTATCAGCTTGGTAAAAGGCCCACAGACCCAGAGTCTGTGAAATTTTCAGTTGAACCTGTCTATTTTCTCTTAAAAACCTGATTAATAATCTCACTCCCCCTCCTGAGCTGCCATCACAGTATGGGTATGGCTGAGACCCAAAAGCGAGACTACTGTCTCCAGTAGATCTTGAGCCACTCATAGAAAAATGTTTCATGAAAAACAATTGGAGGGAGAAATGCTTCTAGCTTCTCCTGTTAATCATTTGAGGAGGAAGCATTTGTTCTTTTTAAGAAAATTAAATAAGATATTTCTAAAAATGGTATTCAAAGTTCATTTACAACTGTTAAAGTTGTAGGAAATGGATATAATATGACCATATGAGATGAAAAGGTTTTTATTAAAACAGTATCAATCCACTGTGGCAGGCTGGTGGGGGCTGCCCCTGGTCTCAGTGAGCAGCTGCCTGGACTTTTTCTCCAGTGGGAGATCATTGGGATCATTGGGATGCCTCTATTGCCTTCCTGCTGTGGGGGACTGGACTCTCCTTTTGTCCACCTTGAGACACTATTCTGGCCTGTTCTATAGGTTAAAAAATTCTATTTCCCTCTGTCTTCTACAAAATGCTTATTGGTTGAATAAAAACTTAAATTTGCTTATTGGGCCTGTGAAAGTTCGAGTTTCTTGTTAAAACTAATTAGCCTAGTAAAAATATAAAGTGAAAATACAACTTTCTTGAGCTAAATTCTAAACCTCAGATTTTGATGAAAGTCTAAAAATGATAAACTGTAAAAATCTACCTCTTCTC